GTTCTAAACAAAAAAAAACCACAGACTTTAAAAAAAAAAAAAACAAAAAAAAAAAAAAAAAAAAAAAGAGAAGCTTAACAATTTAATGCAGTTTAACTGTTTCTATACAAAAACAATACCAAAGCAAATCCCCTTATGTGGCTAATAAAAAATTCTCTAATAAAACTTTTTTCATGAAGATTTGAGATCTGTTCCTTCATCAATACAAAATGTTAATAAGCAGCAACTTTTGCATCTTCTAGACAATAATTCCTTAAACCTGCAGCATTTTATTTATCTCAGAACCAGAAGGGATGACTTGCTATACTTGCTTGAGATGTAAAGAATACTTAAGATCAACTTTGGCCCTTTTGGATTCTACAGAATGTCAAAACCCCCTGAATCTTCTTTAACAAAATAAATGGAAAGGAAGAAAGAAATTATCTATTTCAACTATCAGTAAAAAAAAAAAAAAAGTATCCTTACAGTGCTCTAACATTTTCTTCAATTATGGTGGAACATCACAGAAAAAGGATAATCCTGCAGCAAAATCCTTAAACTATGAACATCAAAGCAAGAGACCATATGGCATACCAGGACCCCTTAAAGAAGGGAAGGAAGAGTCACAACATCCTTACTCTTACAACCATACAGGATCAAATCATTTGTTCCATGTGTTCACTTTCTTATATGCACAGAGAAGTAAGGAAGTACCACATTTTTCTCAGAATAGCTATGAGCGGAGTCTAACACTGAAATAAAAAACCCAACAAAAAAGCACATGATGTGCTTTGCACCTTTACATTGTGCATGTTAAATGCATTTTCCCCAAACATTTGGGAAATTTGTTTTGCCCAGTAAGTAAAAATTATTATTTCAAATTACTTCTCACTTGAATGAGAGGAATTAAAACCCAGACCACTGAAAGCAGAAACAATGAAAGGGCCAGGACTGTAAATTCCAGCTCTCCTCCTCCTCTTCCCACCACTACATTTCTTTTAAAAGTTTCTCCTGTACCCATAGCATCCTTCCAGAACTTTGTTTTGGGAACAAAAGCAGATGACAAAATACATGACTATTTGAAACCACAACAGCTAGTTTTGAATAGACCAAATCTCAACTACACAAGACCCAACACAGCCGTCAATCATGCATTAATGCAATAGTGCCTTAATACAAGTTGGCTTCACAGGAAAAGAAATACACCAGTAATTCTGAACATGGCAAAATATTATTAATACATTATTATTAAGTTTAATGGTTATTTTGGGTGGGGAGGGTAGAGCTTAAAAGCTTCCTCAGATCTCTTGACCAAAATTCAACATCTCATACTAATCATGTACCTGTGCTTGTACTTGCAAACAAAGTGCCAGGAGCTGTACTTGTAGGGAGTTTTCCATTATTTAGCTGCTTCACTCTTTTCAGGTGAGACTTCCCATTGTAATGAACTTGAGCTTGTGCTGCAGAGTTCAGCTGTATATTGCACACTTCACAGAAGGAAAACAGTATCTTCTTTTTTTCTTTGCTTAATTGATAGTCCTGTCTGTCATTCCTCAGTCCTTTTTCTTCAAAGCCCCATAGAACAGCTGGTTGATTCATAATCCCATCTTCAAAGACGTGGTCAGGACTTAATGGACGCTTCATACCTACAAAGCAAACAGACAAAACTGTTACTAGAAGCCAGCTAATAATGCTTACTACTAAATCAGCATTTTCTTTTTTAAAATGCTATACAACATGAACCAAAGACTAGTTCCAACAAATAAGGTTCCAAATTGCAGAGACGTCGCTTAATAGAGAAATACACGCATTTGTGACACACCGCAGAGCTCAGAAATAAGAAGTTGGCAATATATCACAGTCTGCGCACAACAACAACTCCTAACAACTCATTATTTTCTTCTGCAAGCTCTCTATTTTAAAGCAGGTTTATTATTGCATCTCTAGCAGAGGTTAAGATTATTTTCAAACACATTTCCTCCGCCTCACTAAACACTGGTTCCAGAGCTTTTCACTTTCCAATGCCCATAGCAGTACCCACTGCCCCAAATACAATTATTCAACAAAAAGGATGCCGACAAGAGATATTACTGAAACATCAGAAGACAGTAGACCATTCAAGTGAGACTACTGAAGACTTTCCACTTTTATATACACCCAAATCTTCAGCCTTCAAACAAGCATTAAGCTGTTGTCTATAGTAGTCTGTCAATACCTTCACAATTAAAACTATTATACAGAGAAACGCCAGCTAGAAGTTAGTCTTTTGAGAGCTATGCAAATACACAGTAAATGACAGTCCTTGGACAACAATCCAAGAACCTGAAATATGCACTTGTCCCTAGAGAATAAAAACCTCATCATGATAAATGAACCCAGCTGCACAAAGAACAGTTTTATATATTAGGGCGGAGGGAGCTACGTAGGTGTGTGTTGTATTTAAGGTATGCTGCTAAACCAGTAGAGAAGCAGGGAGGGTTCTTTATAAGGGGGATAAGGGTCTAGGGTAACTCAAATAGAAAATATTTCTGTTTTCTTGGCTAAACAACTTGCTGTTTATTCTTTCCCCACCACCCAAATATTCTGGATCAGCCGAAGGCTGGCTCAGGGAGCTGCGCAGAAGAGCTCTTTCCAGGCAAGAATGCACCTATATGCAGCTTTCAAAAGCAAAGAGGCTTCAAATGCAAGGTCCCTTTTTCAGCCCGGGAACTAGAGCAGCACAGATCTTTGTGCATACCTACCACTCTGCTAGACAGGAGGAATGAGAGAGACCACACCTACATGCACACAAAACAAAACATGACAGCAGTCGTAGCAATCCTCCCCCAAACAATGCAGTATTCACGAGCAATACTAGAATACTCCTCTTGTTACCCAGACAAGTATATTACCAGGAGAAAGTCTGTTTGGTTCTTTGGCACAGGTATGTAGAGTGGAAACAAATGCAGAAATAGGTTATTTAAAGAGTCATTTATATGGTGGGATAGAGTATTTCATCACATTCCTAACTCTAGCCCATGCTTAAAATTTTAGTATTTGTACAAATTCCTCCTCAAGCATGATTCACCAATCAAGTACTCTAAACAGAGTTGATAGTTGTAGTCATGTATGTTTCATATAACTGACAGTTCTGTCATCAAATAAAAAAAAATAAACATTAAGATATACATCACATCAAATATTAACCCAAAAAAAATTATTAAAAATAATTGCAGGGTCCAGGTACCTAATTGCTTTTAAAAACAAAATACTAGTGATCCTGAAAACCTAGGCTAGACACTGTCACACTAAATCATTTAAGCATAAGTATCATGTTTCAAGGCAAGCAACCAAGATCCTTGACTCAGCTGAGCTTAGATGACATTTTCATCTGAAAATTTAATCTGCTTAGAGCTTTGGTATTTGTTACTTTTCAGTGTATTTTTTTAAACCATAACTAACTTGTTCTACTCCCTTTGTTTTCTGTATATTTTCATTTCAACAGCACTGTTGTAGTTTTTGTTCCCTGAAGTAAAAGGTTTTGAAACAAAAATATTTTCATATTACATTGTTTTAGATACTATATACATACAAACATAATTATTTAATAATAAAATGGGTAACAGTTTAAAAATCCTGGCTTGTTAGAAATCTTATATGTTTGCAGAAAACAAATAATATAATTAAAATATTTTTATTTTTATAATTAAAATATTTTTATTTTATTAAAATATTTGTTATTTTAATTATAATAAATATAATTCAGTAATTATTTCAGTAATCTAAAATCTTAATGAAACTCAGTTGGTTTGGTTACATTTAGCAGTAGCAGAGGCGAACATCTGCATTAGGAAGCCATGTGGACCAGAAGGCAGACTGATGGAGCAGACAGCTGCTGCTGAGTACCTGTAACAGCACCAGAACCTTTTGAAAGTGGGTTTATTTTGCAAAATACCAGTCTGGTACTGCATTAGCCCATTATCACTGACGGGCACGAGACACATACACTCCTGGACTGCACGTTTTGGTTTACTTTCATCCAAAGGAACAAAACCTTTCAGTTGGTACAGTCTGAGACTGCTGAAATATAAACCAAAGCAGGGTTAATGGGAAAAATCAGAACACTTCCCTCAGAAGTGCACTCCTGACTAAAAATGACCAAAAATGTTTTTAATATGGACACACCCGGAAAGAACAACTGAGCGTAGCAAGGACTCAAACACCACACCTACACCCTAAGGCAGCATCCCAGCTGCCAGCCTAGAAGAAAATTAACCTTCAGACAAACAGAAAGAAACTATTGTCCAAATTTCACTTTTGTTTTTACAAACAGAATGGTTTTGAACTCACTTTTACTACAAAGTACTGTCTTAGTTGCATTAACACAGGACAAATGTCCTTAAAGCAATCTCTTGCTACTAATTTAAGAATTAAAAACCACAAGCTGAAATTTTAAAATAACCCTGATTGCCTAAAGCTCTGCATCTAAATTAAAAGGTGACCTGATTATAAGCAGCACTGACCTCACAACAACTGCTGGGAGCAGCAGATGCAAAGCACTTCCGAAAAAAAACACCTACACTGAGCATCTTAAACCTTGGCTTTAGGAGGGCATGCAGCAGCATACTCCTACTGGTCTGACCCTGGAGAGGACCTGTAGCTTGCAGCCAGAAACCAAACCATGCTAGCCCTCAGAAGTCTGCCTGCTCCCATGCAGAAGTCCCAGCCCTTGTCTTCCTGAGATTTCAGAGACCTGAACATTTGGTATGGCAAATCATCTGTGTTTGAAAAGCTTTGTCGAGTCCCTTCTAGGGTGTTTAAGAAGACAGTGTTGATGGGAAACATCCACTGAGATTTTACAGGATGCACATCTTTCACACAGTAATACAGCTTTTATCGTAACAATCCCTTTTTGTGGTGTATGTATTTGTTCAAAAAATAAAACGGTTATTACATGAAAGGTCCCAGTTGTCTTTAAAATTCTGTCTCCTTCCTTTCTTCTTTAAAGTTAGGGTTGGAAAAACACACCTTTAAAAATACCTTCTGAAATGTCCTGGCTCTAGAATATACAGAACAAGTACAATTCTGCATTGCGTCAGTGTAAGAATCTCAACATGAACGCAGATGTATTTTGTAAGAGGTAACCTTTCTTTAGAAGGCTATCTGAATGCTTTACACTTATGAAAGAAACTTGTACATATATATTAAATTGTAATTACAAAAAAAACACAAACCAAAAAACTTGAGCATTCTTCCTATTTTCTGCATTTCCTAGTCACTCAAATTCATGCAAGCAAGCATCTGGCAAGTGTCTTTTTTCTTCAAAAAGAGCTTTTCACTGCAGACAGATTTTGAAGAGTTCTGGATGGTACTTACTCTCACTCATCAGGAGTCAGATATGAAATGGGGCCATTTTGTTCCTCAGGCTTACACATAGCTCAATAACATTATCACTTAACAGAAGCAGCTACCTGAAACTACAGTCAGTGAACTGAGAATAAAGAGAAGTTACATGATCATTACCTTCTGATAAATCGAACAAATCATTTAGAGTAATAGTTACAGATGAGATTGTGAAGAGTAAGAGTTATAGATGGGATTGTGAAGTATTTAGCAGTAGGTTTAAGACTGAAAACAAGACTATGAGTTCATTAAAAGGGAGAAAGGATGGAAATTATCATATGGGGAAAATACAATATATTAATCCTGCAAGCTCCCACTTTTGTATAACCAGGATACAGCACAGCATAAGCCAAGTCTCAGCAGCGACTGATACATAACAATATCCACAAGTTCAAATGTCCCATACAAAAAGGACATGATTCTGTGATCACACTGGAGTGACACACACATGACAAACATGACACAGTGCTGTATCACTGTAGTTGTATTTACTCAACGACTTAGAGGACTAGACCCAATTAAAAATTAAAATGTGAGAACGTGAAGACAAGAAAAAAAGCAAGAAACAAAGAAAAGCATTCAAGTATGTTAGAAAACATCCAGCTGATATGATCTAGAAAAATCTAAGTCCATAAAAGGATTGTATGCCATATTCATCTTTCATAGGCACTTGAAAGTCTGCTTCTTTCTCTTGCAAAAGTAAGTTCTGCTTTGAACCAGATATACTCATTTTTACTCTGGTCAAAATCATGAGATGAAGCAATGCAAGTATAAGAGCTTTTCAGGTATTTGACATAAGCTGTTACCAGACTAAACAAGTTGTCCCCCGACACGTTTCTTCCCCAGTACACAGAACTGTGATCTATCTGAATAGATTCTGCAAGCACTACTGGAGCAAGAATAAATTAGTGATTTATGACACCACATTAAAATTCTTAGGTGTCATGAGATACCCTGTTAGGATTTCTGAAACCACATCTTCCCAGCCTCTTGCAGCTGGCAAAGAAATCTAAGCGTGGACATCCTTTGTACTTGAAACTCAAGGCAATTTGCCTTTCAATTTAGCTAATTTACTTTTAAACGGAGTTGTGCTTTCAGAGGAACTACAGAGAAGTATTATATATAGTACACTGTTGTAGGTGAGAATGTGCAAATCTTTACTCAAAGGAAATAAGCTTTGGTTATCCTAATGAATTAGTGATGGTTACATGAAGCATTCTCTTCCTGAGTGCTGGTCTAAACTTTTGCAATGCCCATTCCCA